GTCGATGATGGCCTGCTCATTGGTCCCTGCAGGGGTACACAGCGTGAGCAGCTCTGCTACCCCAGGGGACTGGTTAGGGTTGGGGGGACGGGAAGCAGCTGCTTGGTGGCTCAGCAGTGGGGACACACCACCTGGATAGCTTCAAACACCTGGATGATTTTCACGATGTAAAAAGACACTTAGAAGCTCCACCTCCCCATCCCCACCTCCCACCCATGTAGGGTTTGCCGTGTGGCCCAGGTCCAACCACACGGTGAGAGAATCTGAGGACTAGGTGACTCCAGGTATCACCCCTGGGCCTTTGGAGCTAGGCCAGGTGAGATTTCCTGTCCTTCCCTCCTTGGTTTTGGTGGCAGTAAGGGAGGGACTGAGACCAGACCACTGGATCTGAGTCCCTGCCTGGCCTCTCATTGACCTTGTGGCACTGGGCAAGCAGCCTCATTTTCTCATTTGGGAAGTGGAGATAATGTAAAGATTTCTCAGCAATCCCATCTCTTCAGTCTCGGGGGGTGGGTGCCAACCACTGCTGGGGAAGCTGGGGGCTGTGTAATTCCCTGGGTAAGAGAGTCAGTCTCAGAGTGTCATGGAGATGCCCCAACTCCCTGGCTCTACCCTGGCACCTGCTTTCCAGGGCTGTGAGTGGAGGGGTCTTGAGCAGAGAGACACAGCCCTCCCATGGAAAGGTCACGGATGTCCACTCACCGATCCCCTTCATGGCTTTGTACAGGGTCTCCGCATCTGGGTCTGGGTTAAAGTGGGGATTGCCCTTCACCGTGACACCATCCTGTTCAATCTGCAAGAGAGCCAGGTCTGCTCAAAGCAGGAAGAGAAGGGAGGACAGCGCAGGCTCCCAGCCCACCTTTTGGCCTGCCCCTGCAGGGTGAGCCCCTTCCGTGGGCACTGAGACCAGCTCGGCCCTTGCAGGCCACTGGCTGAGCCCTCCAGGCTCTTGGCCAACAGACTGGAGCAGCCAGAGCCAGAGCTTTCAGGGAGAAGCTGCAAAACCTCTCCTCTCCCTCCCTGTGCCATCTGGGGGTGTGCAGCATGTCCAGCCACACCCAGCTCCCTCCAGCACCATCCATGGGCAGCAGGAATAGAAAGACCCACCCAAAGCCGTGAGGAAAGTGAGCGCATAAGAAAAGGCTTCCTGGAGCTGAATGTGCGGCTGTAAGAGCATGCGGAGGAGGCTGGGAGCCGGGCATGACTCTGTTTCTGAGGAATGGTTTGAGCTCAGTCTGCCCTCTTCCCGAGGCGTAGGTATTTATAGGGATTCAGAGGGCTGGAGGGCGCAGCTGATCATCCTGACAGCTGAGGGTGCTTACAAGTCCACAGGCTCATGGGGGTCAGAGGGTTAGGTTAAGAAGGAACCACAGGAGATTCTGCAGATTGTGAAATAACCAAAATACCTGGGCCCTTGACTTCCAATCCTCTGATTCAGGGCTTGCCAGAGGGCTCTTTAAACTTGTGCCCCGTGGAATTTCTCAGGTGCTTAAAATGGATGACCCCTCATAAGTATGTGCTTTGTGGGGAGGAATGGTAGAGAGTGGGGGGCTTTGGATATAGGCACTGAATTTGAGGGAGACTCAGAGATCTTTCAAATAGAAGACGTTAGTCGCATCAAGTCTGGTCTTCCACACAGCTGCTCACCTGTCTTTTCCATCGCCCCCTCCTCCGATCCCTCCATCTACTCTCCCACCTACCCACTCATCCATTCATCTGTTTAGCCATTTTCTACCCAGCCATCCAGCCATCCAGCCACCACATCCATCCATCCATCCACCCACCCACCCACCCATCCATCCATCCACCCATACATCCATCCATCCATCCACCCATCCATCTATCCATCCACCCACCCATCCACGCATCCACCCATCCACGCATCCATCCATCCATCCATCCATCCATCCATCCATCCATCCATCCATCCATCCATCCAT